AACTCAGTATAGAACGTGTATTCGGTTGACCAGCAGTAATGTTTTCTGGCATTATGAAACTCACCAGAGACGTGATTGAGGGAATGATGTCCATTGCCTATAGAGAATATTGTGACAGGTTCGGCTGGCAAAAGGCTCCTCTTCCACACGCTGGAGCATGCCCCCGGGAATCTCATCAAACTTCCTGCAGCATTCGTTTCCCATCAGATTATACTCTTCGTGTGGTTGCTTTTCGACTGGATCCAACCCCGACGAGGATAAAAATACTTTTTATCGTTGCATCCTATTCATCACCCAGAATGAGCGATCAAATCAGATAATACAGTATTCTGGTAGACGTACTCAATCTCCCCCCCCCTTTTGTCCACACAATTTTATGTATAGAAAAAATACAGTCAATTCTCAACATTCCCGAATGGTGATAAGTAACCCAGCCCACGATTGGCAATTGATGCATATAACGTTATACTGATTTTGCTCGCGGAAGAAACGGTGGCTGAAAAGACGGTCGTATATTTTTTCCCCCGATGGGGTAGAAAACTTTCCAGCTAAATCCCATGAGTGCTGCCAATTCGTTCATGCATGAAAGTTCCAGAGTTTCCAGACATCAGAGACCGCAGAAAAAGTTCGCCGAACAGATGACGAACTTTTCCAGGTTCAACTTTCGGGGGTCGAAAAATTAGATCCACGCGGAGGAAAAGATATTCAGCAATTTTCGAACGATGATTCTATAATGGAAAAGTTTCACCGTTTTAGTTTAGATGGAAATATAGCTGGCATTTTCAGCGTTTAATTTTCATCGCAGCAGAAACATGCCGTATTTTCGACGCTCATGAATCGATTTTCTTTTTAAAATCTTTAATTGATGACTTCTCACCCTTTTTTAAGAGGCGGACAGAAAACTATAGTGGCCCTAAAAAATCTTTTTAGCTATGCCGTACTTTATAATTCATTCAGAAATTATTGATGAGCTAAATCAATTCTGCTGCGAATAATGTCAAACTTTACTTGTGATGGCAAGTGCATTGCTTTGACAACCAAGATTTGAATAAAATATCCCCAAAGACATATTTGTGAGTTCGTGATTCCTCTTCCTCTTATTGTAGGTTTGTACAAAGGTTGTCCAACTCATACGAAGCTTACAATTAACCTTTTCATCAATCAAGATTGTTGTGCTGGGACTTGTGCGAATAGAATTTTAGACATTTCCGAAACTTTCACGAAAGGATGCTGAGGACAAAGAAAATATTCCTTTGGAAATTTAAATCTAAATTTCTGTCTCTGTTCTGCTCGATACAACTTTTCCGCTTTCCCATCATATTTTATATAGGTCTTCGGTTTCTTGCGGCCTTCATCTTTATAAAAAAGGGGAAATTCAAAAAAATTGTTCAATTTCGTTTTTCAACGGAACTGTTCCATGAAATTCCAGTCCACGAGAGATTTACCGTAAGATTTTGACGTAAATTTGCAACCCCTGCGTGGAAGATTAATTTCAGGATCCGGCGTGTGCTTTCAACAGCCGTCTCTAACGAATGATGATCTAAATTTCCTCATAGATTATATGTTACCCTTTGGTGAACATTTAACCAGTTCTTTCCGAACGAAAAAAACTGATGAATATTCTGGAATCTATTCTTCATGCCCTCAATCGTTTCGCTCCGGTGGAGTTGAATCGCATCTTCGCCGAACATAAAAAACACGCGTTGTCATCGTCCATCCAAGAGGAAGTTGGTCGAAAAAAAATGAAAAAAGGGGGAAAAGTTGAGGCAATAAGCAGCAGCAGACGGACAGCATGATCCGACAATTTATGACTTCTCACGAATGAAAAGCAGAGAAAGCAAGAAAGAAAACCCAGGGGGGGGGGGGGACGCAAGAAAACGGCTGTGCACAGTGTGCGAATTATTCGTCGCTGTCCGTGTCCTGCCCAAGTTTCAGCGTCGATGTCGGTTTTATTTCTTCGGAATAGACCTTCGACATCTTCGCGGATATTGCGGTCATCAATTCTTGATCGTTCGTGACGAAGAAATGGGATGAGGATAATGATATTTTCGGATGTGTCCTCCATGCAGAAGCGACGGAGATTTTATTTTTATTTTACTTTTTTTCTTCGTCTTTTCCGCACCGAAAAATCACTTTGCAAGTCGTTTGCTCCTTATGGCGATCCATTTTTTATCTATACGGAGACGCTAGAAGAACTTTAAAAAATACTGTATTCGGTCTTTTTCTCGGAAATTTTCTAAAATTTATATCGCTATATTTTACAGGTTAAAGCCAGTGAAAATGGAAGGCCTGGAGTCCTGGACTGCGTTGAGAATTTCTTTTCCGAAAGGTAATTTCAAAAATCGCGCAACATTTAAATGAAAGTTATTTTTGTCCAGCTATTTCTCTGAAATGTGCTCGAATCAGAATAATAAAGCCGAAGGGGTATCTGTTCTGCCGATTTTCACTCACATTCTGAAAATAATTAACTTATCTTTTCGGCAGCGAATTCTTTCATTCCAGGAGCCAGTCTTATTTTTCCGAAGTACAGCAGATCTCGGATTGTTCGAACTAATTTTGATTGAGAGTGTCGTTAATAGGATACTCGAACATGCCGAAAAATGGATGACACCACGATAATGAATTATTTAGAGTTATTATAATATCACCCATTGAAGCTCTTTGAGGGCGCAGAAATATTTGTTAAAACATGTGCAGTTGACTTTCTGAGAATTTAAACCATCAATAACTGCCAAATTTCTTTTGATTTCCCTGGATAATTAAAATTTTAAATATTAAAACCAAAAAATGGCAATACAGTACATTCAGAACTAAAAAGGCTTGAAGTAACCGCTAAGTATTTGAAATGTTCCACAGTGAAAAGCATCTGCTTTGAATATCAAAAATTGGATTTCACTTTTGTCACAAAACCTTGGGAGTTATAGCTTTAGAAAACCTGTTCATGTTCAATGAAAAATGAAGAAGTATGGTTAAGGAAGGTCTCATTTTGTAGCAGAATTTCGTGAAGAGCTTTTAGATATTTTCAATTATTTTTTCAACATTTCCCAATTTTTGAAAGGGCGGAAAACGACTGAGTCCCAAATGTGCCCATACAACAGGCGATGGGTTAAGATGAAATGTAATCCCATGTTCGATGCACCCAAGAATATTTCGTCTCACACAATAACGGGAAAGAAACGATTCTATAAACAGATATGCGGATGTTCTACCGTAATGTGAAATACGACAGACGTACACAGAAGACGAAAAAAAAGCCCCAGACTGTAATCAAGCATGAAGGAAACCGGGGTGCAAACATTCCTCGGGTTAAATCGACTGATTAGCCGACGTTTGCCGCTTCGCAGTATAGTACGATGTCAGTCTGCGATATTATTATTCTGCGGCCTTTTGTTCGCTTTATAACGTCGTGATGATGACTGCTCCCTTGCTTTTGCTGTGTACACAGCAAGGGGAAGGGCAGCTTATTCAGAACAGAGACACGGACACTAAAAAGACCCAAACCGCGACGCGCTGGGAGAATAGAATTTGCCCCGCGTGGGGATTCATGGGGCATTTGACAAGTTCGAACTTGAATTCGCCGGGAATTTTTTTTATGTCTTTGTGTTCAAAGAAGCTTTCTTCAAACCTTGTGGGCATCACTGCGCTTGCAATACATTTTTCTTTTCTCAGGCATCAGCGTGCCGGCTTTTGACCATTTATTGTTGAACAAACTCGTTATACTTATATTTCTGCGCGTTTTCTTCGCATCGTTAGTGCTGTACCTCCATTATTTTAAAAACTGTTCCAGACATCTGTAGAATAAATTACAAAGGACAATTACGTTTCAAATATGTGCTAAAATTTGTCGCTTTTTCGGCTGAATGAAATTATGGTGCGCTGAGGGGTTCTCATTAATATTCAGCTTGCTGATTTGAGGGATGAATGGGCCTAATACGAGTGCGAATCTTATATTGCAGTACTGTACAGTACTCCGTTGGATGAACATGTAGTCGGCGGATTGAAAAATAGCGCAATGCTTTCTGTTTGTAGCTTTGTAAGTTTTTTTTTTACATTTGGAAGCATTCCAGTGAACTTCTGGTGTACTTGATTCAGTTAGACTTGGTCATCAATCGACTGATCTATCGAAAAAATAAATTAAAGTATTTGAAAAGTGAAACCTCGTACGTGATCAGCCAAAATAAAGTTAAGTCTGAAAATATTGACTGAAAAGTCTATGGTTCATCCTTTTTTTCTAATTCAAATTTAAGAATCCTGAACATATATTGTTTGAGCAATACACACACACAATTGATAAGTTGCAATAATTCCAAAACTTAAAAGAGGATGACTGTAAGAAATTAAGGACGATTATGAATAAGAACAACAAATAGGCTCACCTGATTGGCTACAATGAAGGCTTTCTGATTTCGAACACGCTTTGCGCCTGTTCGAAATATGTTGTCAAACCGAATGAAGATATGTCTCAACATTTAAATTTTTTGCCTCGTAGACATTAATACATATTTTTCGTTTACCGGAAACGGTCTGTTTTATTTGTTTCAATTTATTATACGTCTCCGAAATTCTGATGAGCAGAACCGGAAGCGGAATGTTCCAAAGAATGAAATCACTTTCACGGTGTTTTAGTTTTTTTTTTACTTTGATAGAAAATTTTTTTACTGTTCGTTGCTCAGTTTGAAACGTGGTTAACGGCAATTTCATTCATGTGAGAGGTTCTGTATAAGAAGCACCATGAATGAAGTGTTGAAACCAAGGATCTACAATAAAAAGACAATCTGTACGTGCCAGTGATGGATAATGACAGAATAAATGCGAAGTTTCTGCTATTTGGAATCACTATCCTTTCTTTTGAGTTAAATAAATGTTTTACGAAAAGGAAATTTATATCTGTGTTCATCACTTTCGGAGGGCTTCCCTAAAGTTGCAGCTGTGAAATTTCTAGAAATAAAGGTCGCGAACTGCCGGAAAGCCCCCGGCGAGCGTTTAACACATGACGATGGATGGTTTCGCTGTTCTCTATGGTGTCTTGTGCCACCGACGCCGTCGACGCCGTCGACGGCAGATCGGAGTTGAAAAGATTCCCGATAAACCGCGGCGGGTATAAATGTGTTTTTGCGGAATGAGTCCGTGGGTTCTTTTTACGGCTTGTTCCTGGTCTTTTTGTCTGATGGTGCTGAGCCGTTTCGGAACATTCATTAAACTGCGACACGCCGGTGTTAAATCGCGCGGAAATTCAATGCCGAGTTTCCTTCCGGGGAAGAAAGTCCCTCGGGGCAACGCAGGGGTTTCCCTTTTTTCTCTCTCTCATACTTTAAAGCAGTTCTGAATCATGCTGGGGAAGAATTGCACAAGGATTCGGTATATATAACTGCGCGAATCCAATTCTGCTGGATTCTTTCGCTGGCACTGCGCCATCTTATTCATTCTTTCTCATACAAACGCGAAGTGAAGTTTTCGCCACCTTATTGCACAGGACCTGAAGATTCTTTTCGAAAACCGCTTCAAATCATCTTGAACGAAATCCATAAGTATTGCGAGGAACATGAAAGCATTCTTTCTCACAAATTTACACTGACACAAAATGCGAAATTCGACTGCTGCGTCACCGTAATTTGCTTCGACGCACCATTTGCAGGAAAGCGTTTCCCGACTGCGATGCGTGTTTGAAATCATTCTGAATGTTTCGAAATTTTTGGGAAATGACTTCATTGCGATGTCAGTGACAAAATGTTTGCGTGTGTTCCGTTTGCCCTATGTATAGTCGTTTATGACACGAAACGCGTCGTTCAAGTGTCATTGGGTGACCTGAACGCCGCATGCAACGTTCAAAGCAACGACTTTCTTTCACTTATTTTTTTTATCTAACCTTTTTTTGCCAGAAGTAATTGAGCACATAATATTTTTCGAAAATGTGTATCTTCCGAAAATGTATACAGTATATTCAATTTTTCCGAGACGATTGAATGATTCTCGTTCAAAAGAATCGTTTGACTTGAAAGTGAAATTGTTAACTGAGATCGATAAACCGACTCATATTATCTTCTATAGTGTTTCGCTTAATCGATTTGGATACAATTGTATTTTAATTATGATAGATTGAAAGAAATGCTGTATTTTCTTCGGGAAATGCCGTTTATCTTTCAAAAGGCGTTTTGCTTATTTTCTACCGATGAATTGGGCAAACCGTCCCGTGTGAGCCTCATTTCGAAGAAACTTATTAATAAGTCATTTTAGGCCTGGCCAAGACATCGTTATTTCCATCAGGAATTTTTTTCTGTTTGCCCAGAAAAATTCCCAAGCAAACAAATGAACAATGGCACTACAGAAAAAAATTAGAACACAAAACGAAGCCCGCAAATCAATCAACTCGCAGTGTTTCAATAACGTTTTCGCTGATACGGTCGACGCACGACGTGCGCCAACTGCTGAATATCCCCCATACGCTTCGTTTGGCCGCCTTTTGTCCTCTCTTATTGCTATGGATTCTTTTTGCTCAGGTTCCTGTTTTCCAGCATCTTGATTGTGTGGCTCAGTTAGTCGGCTTGATGTTCTCTCCTATATACTCATTCATTGTACTCTTTCGATTTCACCTTGCCTTGCTGAATCCTGTGAAGAGAATCACCATGCTTTTCCGTAAATATATTGTGTGTAAAAACTTTTTGCTGATTCTGACTCGCAGAACATTTGATGGCGTTTTGGAGCCGGCGCGAGCGAAATATTGTATTTCATGGGAAGGTCAGCAAATTTGATTGTACTGTATAAAAGTATAGAAGATTGAAATAAATGCTGAAAATCTCCTCTGTTCATCGAAAGCATTTCAACCTCCGAGGCTCTTTTCAAAATGTCCTCTTGAATAATATCAGGATCGAGATTAAAATTTTCCGAAGCACACGCAGGAAAGCCTCCGGAAATTTATTTTTATTTTTTTGTTGATGTGACGACAAAGTCATGATCATAGTCTTGAGAGAAAGTTCAATAATCTTTTAAATGAAATAAATAAAAATAGATTCTATACTCATACTTGTTATGGTGTTTTTTCTCCGTGTCATTAACTTTTCTGCGCAAGAGCTCAGTTTTTTCATTTCCCGCCATTTTGAAGCGACGAGTCAGAACTGCTGACCATACATTCGTGATTTTTCAGCAACATTTTCTTCGTTTTGAGGGGATGACAATTTATAACGCATCGAACATACGTTAGTTGCGTGTTTACGCTTCTTCAAGATTTTATATTCTTTATTTTTATATTTTCTCAGGTTGTTCGGAGCAACTGGTTACTGTGCAGCCTGCAACAAAGTCATCCCTGCTTTCGAAATGGTCATGAGGGCAAAAAGCAATGTTTATCACCTGGAGTGCTTCGCTTGTCAGCAATGCAACCACAGGTTCGGAAGAAAGAAAAAAAAACACTTGAGAAATCGTCGCTCCCATTTCCAATTTGAAATAAACCGTTGAAATGTACCAACGAATGCAGGTTTTGCGTCGGAGACAGGTTCTACTTGTGGGACAACAAGATTCTGTGCGAGTACGACTACGAAGAACGGCTCGTGTTCGCGAATATTCCTTTTCAACCCGGTGGAGGAATTCAAGGACCACCACCGTCAGTGGATGCTCTCAAACAGCAGCAAATTGCTTCTGGTATCCATCCCAGTAATAACCAAGGAATGTTGGGACAGCAAAGAAATAATAGTTCTCAACAGCAGATGTGCCCTGTGTCTTCTTATCAGGGTCAGATGCCTGTCCATCACCCGCAGGGCCAAATGGTGAGGAATTGTGGAAAAAAAATGTGCACGAGCTAATATACGATTGATCTTGAAAGATCCGTAAAAATTGTATCCTAGACCTAGAATTCGAACCTAACCAAAACACCTGTGCGAGGGAGACAGAGGAACACGGTTTTCATCTTATAGGTAGAATGCTGAAGCACACGCTCTGGTTTATCTCCATCATAAACAAATTACTCTTAAACCTTTCGTAAGTCGAACTTCAAGGGACCAGCAAAATTTTTTAGTTCTGGGCAGTTAGGGAAACAAGCATTTTTGTTGTGGGAAACATAGGAGAATCACAGAAAATTGTAGATGGTAATATTCTGGGCCTCAATTGCTTCTTAAACCCGTTGATAGCATGCTGAACTTGTTGCCAAGGGCTCATTTTCCCAATATTTGTCTTTCACTTCCTTTAAAAATACTGTACATCAAGTTGATTTTTATTCCTTTTCCCATTTCTGTATCAAGAAAAAAATAGCCTAACGGCCTTAAAAAATTCGAGTTACCGAGGCTTGAGGGGAAAACCTTCGAGTTAGATAGGCTTTTCATCCAATTTTTTTAGGGGAATGCAGACGGGGACTTGAAAAAAAAATCGAAAAATTCGAATTTTAAAGAGATCCAAGTTATCAAGGTTCAACTCTATTTACCAGCATCACCGAGAATAACTGCCTCATTCATTCGTGTCATACTGTACAATAAGAAATAAAATTAGGACCCTCATCCTCGTTTTCACGGTTGATGAGTCGGTTTTGATCGAACAACTTGTCTATCTTTGCTCTGCTATGGATTAATTAAACTGGAACGAATCGCGTGAGAAAAAAAATTAAAGGGAGCAGATATAATTCTCTGTGGATTGTCGGTGGGTGGGAAAGTTTTATCGCAGCCGAGACAAGTCGCACACCGGCATATTTCACAAAACCTCCCCCACATGGAGAGAGAGAGAAGCATCGACATCGTCGTGCGTTCGTATATATATATATTATATATATAGTCGACGATGTCGGTGTCGACCGCCAGCACGCGCGTCAAAGCGTAATCGCGAGTACATTAACCGCCCTAAATTGGTCTCTCATTACCCATCATTCTCGTCAGTCCTTGCCAGAGTCGGAAGAGGAGGGGTGGTCCAATTTCCACAGCGCGTGCTTATCGGAAACCGACCTTATTTCGCCTGGATGGCACCGGAAGCATGCATGAAGTTTAGGGGACGCGGCATGAACATTCCTCCTTTAATGCCAGTCAAAGTAGAAGACTATTAAAGTAATGTATATTTGAGCGAATATAAAAGTCTATAGTGCGAGGATAGGCCCCACCTCAATTTTAGACAACAATTTAAGAAAAGGGCTAGTTTGAGTAAATACTGTACCGTACACTTTGGTGCTTATACTGGAGTACCTTGCGCACCATTTTCCCAAAAATGTTGGACCAAAAATTGTGTGGTGCTGAATGACTACAATAACCTTTCCTGTAAATTTTCCAAAGGTTTTGTGCAAATTAACCTTGGATTACGCAAGGAAAGCAAACTGGATACGATTGAAGTCTACCTTTATTTCAGCATCAATTGATAATTTTAGATGTTTTTATTCTTAAACTAAACGCATTTTTCACTGAAAGCTGCGATGCACGTCTTGATCATGCAGGAATACATTTCCCCCAAATTTTGCTGCTCAGAAATGAAAATGTACGAGTACTGTATGTCGTATAAGAGTGAAAAATGAGTCAATGAAGTATTTAAGATGTTTAAAACAGATTTTTGACAGCTTTCAGGTTCAAGATCATGACATTTTCCTTGATTGAATGCCCTTCAACATATATTATTTAGTTCTGTAGTACAGTATCTTATAGAATCTATTCAAATATTGTATCTATCAACTGTAGTTTTTTTCATTCCAGCATGGTGCGGTATGACCACCAGCATTGGAAAATTAGAAATGAAAAAAGACAAAATAAGAATTGATAACACCTCGTCCTTTTTTGAGCAAGGAAAAGTCCGGAAACGTTACATGCCGAAGAAGTCTTTCAATCGTTTTTTTTTTTTTCAACGAGACACTCGAGCAGAAATGCATTTGATGGAGGATTCTCAATCACATGATTAAAATCATCTCGTAAAGAGATTCAAAAACATGTATAAAAATATATCAAGAAAATCTGGAAAAATTATTCTCTCGTGTACGTGTCCCACAAACAACAATAAGCCAAGCCAATTTAAGTTGATCGCCCACATTACCTCATCATCATCATCTTTCAAAACTTGCGAGGGCTTTTATTTCATTTTTTATTGTCAGCCTGCCCATTTCTTCTTTACTTTTTCAACATTTTGAATGGATTAAACATGAGCAGCGTGTGTTCCGCTCTTTTTTCTGGGGGATCGTATCTGTTCAGCTGTGTGGGGGGCGATCGTATCTGAAGCGTATTAGCAGTTAATTTTTCCCGTGAATCTTCTGGTGTTTCTTTTTGCATTAATGGGCATTGCAATATTATTTATTTAGTGTTAATTTTCGAAAATTATTTCATCGAAACGTATCGTTGAAATTTTTGGAGAAATGCAGTGGAACTCAGATTATCCGGGTTTATCGTGTAGTGCAATGAGCACTTTAATTTTCATTACCCGCGAGAAAACAAAAGCTGCTGGCATCATTCAATTTTGCCCCGGGATATTTTCCATCAGAGACCAATTAATCGCGCTCATTTATTCGAGCTAAGAAATTTAGAGATTTGAGAGAATCTCAGCATCAGTTCTTCTGCATATTTTGGTAAAATATTTGAGTACTGATTATCAATGATTTTTATCATTCGCCATAATGGGCAAATTACTATTAGCACTGATAATTAGAGTTCTTCTTGATTTAAATTGATTTTTTGAGGAATTGTTTTTAATTCGTGATCGGACGACTGCTTGAAAATGAGGATTACTTGTCGCTCAAAAGTTTTTCACATCTTATTGAAAAAAAAAGAGAAATTTATTCCCCGACTACTAAATCGAAACTACTGTAATCAGCAAGTGAACGATAAGACTTTTGCAGTGGGGTGAATGGAGGAGAGTTATTCAAGGGAGATTATTTTTAAATTCATGCAGGAAATGAACCGGGTCCCCTTTCCCTGGGTTTCAGATCACTAACTACTTCCGCATCCGGACTGGCGTTCCGGATAACTTTTTTTATATCCTTTCGAGTTTCCGTTTGCCGCCAATGTGACCCAACGGGTGACGCTCATTAGAGAGAGTTTAGTTTCTTATAGGTCACCAGCAAATCGGCTACCCTGGACCTCGTTTCGCCACCAATAATTCAACGCGCACTTTAATGCTGGTAATGCAATGGCAATTTTATGTACCATAAATGAGACAATTTTGTTGATTCTTTCTGCTTGCAAACAAAAAATAGCGTAAAGAAATGCATGCATCTGGGCTGGGGTCATCCTCTGACAGTATGAAGGTTGGCCAAATCTGAAACAGCACACGTATCTGAACAGAACCCGAACAGTTTCAAAGTTGTTCGATATCTTATTTTTAAATACCCTGTCTTATTGTGCATTGTTATACTGTACAACGATAAAGGATTTTTCAAGGCGAAACTTCCGAAATGCTGCTCTTATATGTAAAAGAAGAACTTCTCGTCCACGCGAACTCATGACTGTAGAACAGAATCTGTACATCAAAATACATGTTATTATTGCAATAAATTATATGAAATATTCGATATTGTGCTTTCACTTCGTAACTTACGCCTCTCGATCGATGTATAAAAATTTTGATTTATAAGTATCCGCACAGCAATTCAAACGAAATTTTCTGAAGCTTTCATTGGGCTCCTCATTCTGTCTTTTGCTGATTCACATTTTAAAATTAAATGTTTGTGGGATGCAAGGAAAGTAGATCGCTAACACTGATCCCCGAAGAAATAACTTCTTCATTGCATGTTAATTTCTCTAGGAGATGTTTTAGAATATAAGGGTCCCGAAATTCCTGCTTTGACTTTGATTCAAATGGACTGGGCATTTCTTTTTGTTGCACAATCAAGCCAGAAAAAGTGGACATATTATGAGTTCGTGGCGAACCATTCCTTCTCGAATACACTAAGAATGAATCATTTATTCTAATTAAGTTGTGCTGGCTACCGGTCCATTTAATCTGTAAGAGAATTACTGTATTTACTTCAGCCCCCTAGGCACTTCTTTCCCCGAAAATAGGGTAAAATTTTTTCAAACTGCTTGAACTCATCTTCCTTGGACAACATTGCAGATGAATTAAAAACTATATTTAATTGAATTATTCATCTTGTGTAAATTTTTAGCTGATATAATTCTTCCATTGTGAATATTCTTCGTTGAAAACTGGAATAAACATGTTATGCAAGGTAAATTGTTGCAGTACGTAATGTCGCAGCTCAAAAATGAAGACACCTGCCTCTTATGCATCTTGTGTACTCAAGTATGTACTCAAGTAAATAGGGTACTGTACATATTTGGCAGACCTATTTTGAGTTCTTTTATTCCTTTGGGAAAAAAATTTGAGGTTTTGTAGGAACATGGCAGAATCGACCAAGCCTATGAAACTGTAACCAATAAAACAGGAAGTGAAAGGCGGAAGCTCCGTGTGGGGAACTACTGAAACGGATGGAACCGATGCGATATTGAGCCCAGTGGCCAGGTATATATCCCGAAGGGTTGGAAATAAAGCTGCTTCTCGTAACGATCGCGTGAAGGAATAACCCATATCTCTATTTGGGCAAAGCTACTGACGATTATCAAGTATACAAAATGAATGGTGTCTCTAGTTCACTCAAATCCGGGAACATTAATACTGTACTTTCCTGGGCATAATTAGTGTACGTAAGTTCAGTACATGCAACGTGCTTGCAATTCCGAAGAGCGGCTTTGAACTTCTCCCCGGCCCTTTCCAAGAAATTAGCATAATTTCTGTAGCATAGTTTTTGAACCGAAGGTCTACAGCAGAAGCTTTTGCATATACAGTATTGCAGGATAACACTGCCAACGTAAACTAAATTGTCCAGTACTGTATAGCATGCGAACGATTTTTTGGTGAGACACTTTGTTTTAAAAAAAATCCAGATGATGATGTGAAATTAATTTTACCGCTGCATTTGGGAGCGGGCCGTTGTTCAGCAATAATTTACAATAAACGGCCACGAAGGAAGAAGGAATTGAGATAATGCGAGCGCAGCCATGTCCAAGATGGCGTGATAGGGTTCGACAA